ACAGATAAAGAAAAAACAATGTGTTAGTCCATCAGGATGGGAGGAATCATTTAAGGTTGTATTTCCCTTAGAATTAAACAGATACAACCTTAAATGTTCTAAACATGATATATGACACTAGTTACTGAATAAAAACAGAGAAAAAAAGGAGTTAATTAGGGGTTTGCTTAAACTGAATTCCAGTGGATGCTCAGGTTTTGGAATTAGTCTTGAAAATGATTAATTAGAGAAATAATGTAATTAATTAATTAACAAAGAGATTTAAAGTTTTTTTAAAGACTTTGAGGTGTGAATTGAAGTCTGTGTTTTTATTTTCATTTTTATGCTTCAGAAAAACGGATGCGTTTGTCCTCACGTCCATCCGCAGAACGGCCTCTTCGATGGCCGTCGATGTGGCGAGCATCTCTTTATCCACCATGTTTCCCAGCTCTTCTTTCTGCACATCCTGGCCCTTTGGACGCAGATCCTAAACAAGAGGACCCAGAAAGTGTCAATTTTAGCTCATTGGAGTCAGGCACTGGACTCTTTGAGGCATGTTTTTATCTTTTCTTACAGAAAATGCTGAATAGTTGCCCAGTGGGGTTTATTTCATATTAATGTAGTTTAAAGCCTTTTCCTGGCACAGACTTTGTCTTTCTGTCTGTTCCTGATCTTCTGTTTAATTTATTTACACAAATCCGTGCGATTTTTGTAATAATTTGACAAACATCCATGCTGGTCTGCTGATATTTGGGATCTACACACATCCTCTCTATCCTCATCATTTAAGCTTTTAATGTTGAGCTGATAATGAGGGCAATTTCCACAAAGTTTGGCCTTCTGATTTTTATTCAACAACAACCTGATCATATTTGCCTCCTGAACGTTGTCACGGTGAGCTTATTGCATTCCTACAGCCAAAGGCAGAGACGTCCCCTAGCTGGAAACTCTTAATTTGGACTAATTCAGGACGGTTCTGCCCACCTGTCCGATGGCGAGGAGGCGCTGAACCGTGTAGCGGACCGCAGAGGGGTCAGCCCTCTGCAAACTGGCCTGAAACTTCAGATCCTTCAAGTACTGGAGGCAGTGATTGGCACAATCCCGACAGCTGTCAGTCAGACCTGCACCACACAAAGGAACCAGAATCACGTCTGTGGAGGGAACAGCCTCGGGGGGGTAGGAGGGGCTCTTACCGTCGGCCTGGTCGGTGGGAGCCGAGTGGGACGTCGCCGCCCCGTTGACGATGGTGTCGGCGGCCAGGTGGGAAAACTGGGTGACGGCTCTCAACAAGCCACTGGCGTCTGGAGAGGAGGAGGAGGCCTTAGACAGGATTCCCGACGGGAGGCTAACGTACAAACACACACGACCTGAACTCACCGCTCCTGTTTCCCAGGTAGACCAGGTGGCTCTGCTGCATTTTGTCGATGGAAACCAGAGTGGTTTCCGCTCTGTTCACCAAATAATCTGAAAGACGGGACGGCAAAACCACGGGCAGAAGTTTAAGGAACAGGAAGTGTTGTTTCTCTTTCTTTTACCACAGAGGATATCTGACCAATAGATCAGTCACAATCAAAACTAAAAAGCAAAGAGACGGACTCTTCTTGCAGCTTTGATTCTTTTCTGAATTAACACATTTAATTCTACTTAAATAATTGTTAATGATGGTATTTTGTTGGAACTTTTAAATTAAAATATCTGGATATCTGAAGGCTTTATTTCCTCTTTAGAGCACTTATAGTTGTTTGTTCTCTCCCCTGAGAACAAAGTTATCTGCAGATGGTCCTACATCCTCCACCATTTGTTTCTGGCTTCATCAGCTTTTGATGGACATTTCAGAAGCAATTCATAAACCAAAGTGATCTGAATTGATCTTATCTGAAGTTTTATTTTATATTCTAATGAGAAAATCTGAAAGCATCCACACAAGATCAAAAGCTAAAGGTGGAGACTGTTGTGGT